CCACTACTTTTTACTTTTACTTGAGTAAAGAAGTTGAATTAGTACTTGGAGTATTTTTAACAGTAGTATTTTTACTTAAGTACAGAATGAAGTTCTCAGTCTGCTGTGCATCTTTAGTCACTGAGTAAATGGTAAATGGCCTGTATATTCACACTTCACACTCTCTTAAGTAAAAGAATAAACTATTTAAGTTGGGTATCACTTGGCTTTGGAATATAAAACAAAACTGCTTGTACATAGATGTGGTGGATGAAACAGCAAACAAACATCCAGCTGCCCATCAGCACGTTGATGCTGATAGAACAGACCTGAAAGCTATACAGCGGGGTTTAGCAAAGGTGGAAGTTGAAGAAAGTGTGACTCCAGTACCTTAGAGTTTTCAGTTTACAACTAAATATTTCTAGGCCAGTGGAACACAGCTCCACTCCTGCAGTTAGATAGAGACTGGTCTCAATCAACATACAGCTTTCAGTCTGCAATTTAAAATGAGGTCATTAAAAAATACTTTAGTAGATATTGGTTATAATTATCCATCACAACATTTAGAATTTAAATTTTAACCATTTTTAGGGTATAACTGGCTGTTTTTGACTACTTTTGATTTTACCTCCACGTCTCACCTTTAAAACTGTTTATCTCGCCTTGTTTGGTCTCATTATTCTCAGCACAACCTCACATGTTTGAATTTACTGTTATTTTTTCCATTTTAACATACTGATCTAAATTCAGACAAAAACATAAAATCAGAGGAGAGAAAAGTTCTTTTTGTCACTGTAAAAACGAATCAGTTTTATAGCTTGAAATGCAAACATAAATTGTAAATGAAATTTTAAAAACCTATGCACAAGTTGTGCAAAGAACAACGTTACATGCAGATATTTACCTGAAATTGCAGCAAATGTGTTTTTTTTAATAACCATTTCAAACTATTTACAGAACAATACAGGTGTTCTGCATTAAATAAGAAGGCACACAAATGATTTGTACCATTAAAAATTGATTCCTGTCCACTATAAGACAGAGGAGAGCAGGACACCTCCTGCAGGTCTGACAGCAGGAGCTGTATCACTCCTCCTGTTTCCCAGCTGGAGACAGCGTTCACTGTAATCTGCATTTGTGACGTTCATTAGTGCCCTCATTGACACACAACATACAACAACGAATACACTACACACTAATTACACAAGACAACACAACACACTAACACTCCACACTAAACATCACAAATCTCTCTGTCTCTCTCTTGCTCACTCTGTCTCGCTGCCCTCACTCCCGAAACGTTCCCCTCGCCCTACACAAACAAATGCGTGTGTTGCCATTTTTTAAAAAATTGGTCGAGATGTCTTGATGCATCTCAATCATCCAGGAAAGTAAATCTCCAAAAGTTGATTCTGTTCATCTGGACGTAGCGTTTTGTGGGAGAAACGTTTCGTCATCATCAGGTGACGTCTTCAGTCTCAGCTGACTGCAGGTTTCAATCTTATAAACAGTACATTTGCATAATGACTGAAACCACTGAAGGAACAATGGGCTGGGAGGTCAGTTCATCATTAATATGCATTTCTCATGACCACTGACCAAAACCCTCTGATCAAAGCCCACCTGTAGGTGTGAACAGACTGCAGAGTCCTTGCCTGACGAGGTGGCTCTTAGCCAGAGGTGGTTCGATTTCCCCGATGTATAGATCCTGGCAATCCTCCTGCACTTAGCAGCGTACACTATGTTACTCTGTTTGTGTCGGGGGACCTGATCCTTAGGGTGGACCAGTTTTTGGCGCAGCGTGTTTTGGGGTGTAAAAGCCACAGAGATGCAGTGTTTAGAAAAGGTGTGTCTCAACTGCTCCGATACTCCTGACACGTACGGGATCACTCCAGGTTTTTGCTTAGGCAGAGGTTGTCCTTCTCTCCTGGATCGGCTGGAGCTTTCTTTAGGAGCCTTTACAGCTTTGACATTTGAATCTGATGTGTCGGTCCACCGAGTTAATGTGAAATGTGGAGCATCCTGAGATTTGATTTTCACCCAGGTGTCATCCACATACCTGAACCAATGACTTGGTGGTGTTCATGAATGAGCACAATGAACACGACAGCTTGTTTTTAACCAGAGCTGAGCTTATCTTTCCTGAAGACGTTCATTTCCACATAAACCGACGAATTAGAAAGACTCCTCAGTCCCAGCAGTGTCTGATCAAACCGATCCTCTGTTGAGGAGACAACGCTGTTCCTCCATTGTGGTCACATCTGGAGGTCAAAGGTCAAAGCAGCGCTGCTGAAGGTCAAAGGTTAACTGAACCCTGAGTCTCCTGATGAGATCATGTTCTGTAGATGATGAGATGTTCACAGTGAGGAACATGTCTGTCTGCCTGCCTCTCTAACATGCTCTTTCTATGTCAGCCAATTAAAAAGGAGCTCATTTTATTAACGTGGTTCATTTTCTCAGTTTTAACAGTCGACGTTTTCTCTCTTCTAGTGTGAGTTAAATATGTTCAGTTTATTTACATATTTCAGCGTCCAGCACAGTTGGGTGGAGTCAGTCCTGCTGCTCTCTGGCTCAGGTCCTGCAGCCGTCGTTGTCTCTGGACAAACCTGGATCTGAGTGATGCATCTGACCTGTGAACTCTGACCCTCGTACGAAGAAGCAGCAAGCACAAACGCAGTTAACCTCAATTAAATCTGAAGTTATTGCTCAGGATATTCCACTGAGAGCTCCACAGCAGCTGGATCCACAGCAGCTGGGTCCACAGCAGCTGGGTCCACAGCAGCTGGATCCACAGCAGCTGGATCCACAGGTTTAATCTGGTAGTTTTCCTGACCCGGCCCACCCAGGAGCTGTGACTCCTCCCAGTCTCAGCAGTCAGGTGGATGCTGTGTAAACAGCACTGCACACTGACATGAACAGAGGAAGTGTTTGTATCTGTATCTGCTGAATACACTCAGTGATGGAGCCTCAGAGGTCACACAGGTCAGATCTACGGTCAACCTTTAGGGATCTCCTTACCTGGATCACTGAGCGTGCATCAGGACATTTTTCATGGAAACATGTATGATTTTGGTTCAACACACAGTGTGTTTATTTAGCAGTGACCATTTGGGTAATATGTATCAGTGTAGTATCAGTGGGAGGGTTTACAGGGCTGTGTTCATCGTCCAGACCTCAGTAACAAATTTAAAGACGATGAAGTTAGTTTTTCACCTCGTATGCTGAGGTAAACTTACTGACTTACACATCAGAGCTCCACGGCGTCACAATCGGCAACAACACATCATGTGGAGAGAGGAGGAGGAGCCAAATGTAGACAACTGAGGCGAGAGTGAGGTTGAACGGAAGGAGAGTCATTTATTGAGGCTGGAAATGTTGACATACATAAAATGTGAAACCAGGACTGGACTCACTGACTAAACTGGGGAAAATAAAGCAAAAAACAAGGAAAACTGGAACATGAGACCAGGATGAACTAGACCATGATGTGAGAGACACAGGAAACAGGCAACCTGACAGAGGAAAACAGACACAACATAAGCACACAAGGGTCATTAGGGAGAGTGGACCTGACGACACACAGGAAGCAAAGCTATACACACTGAACACAGGACGTGGCACTGTCAAAGTAAAACAGGAAACACTAATTCACACAATATGACACAGGAGACGGGAGGGAAGAACTAGACGAACTTGGAAGACAACGGGAGGAGACGCACATGATGCACTGGGAGAATGTACAGGAGGCACAATACAGACAGAGGACACATGACTTAAGAGACATGCACAGAGGACAGACTTACACAGGAAACAGGGATGAAGCGATAAACCCAAACCTAACTAAGACATACTGACAGCAAACACTAGAACTTTTCTCCAACACAGCAAAAGAGGAACCAAGATACAGAAATACTGCAGATGCTGTCAGTCTGCAGCTCAGAAGGCATGCTCAGTGGTGACATCAGCAGTGACATCATCACCATCTTCAGCCAGTCCCTGACCTCCTCCATCACACTGGCTCATCTCCATGGAGACGGCCGGTTTGTTCGGTGTCTTCCTGCTCAGCACATGGACAGCAGCAGACCAGTGGAGATGCAGTACGGACAGAAGACCACTAGATGGCAGACGAGTCTGAGCACAGACTCACAGGGAGGAGGAGCTGAAAGAGGAGGACACAGAGAGGGGAGTCAGGAGGAGGACACAGAGGAGGTCAGGGTAGCCTGTTTTGTCTGATTTTAAGTCGTCTGTGCTCTGAGGATGTTGAGTGATGCTCAGTCATGTTGGAGGATCTGAGCTGAACCGTCTTCACCAAACTTTCAGAAGTCTCCTTTTTTCCTCAGGAGGTGGAAGTGTCCTTCCAGCCTCCTTAGACGTGTTAGCTAACCCTGAGTCTGATTTAGTTTTATAACTTCCTGTCGTCTGCAGTCCTCTGTGCTTGTTTCTCATGTTTCTAGCTGGTCTCAGAACCTCATACTGCAGTTTCAGACCCTGCTGCTAGAAACACATGACTCATCATCATGGACAAATTTGCAGCCTGTGACTCTTGAAGATCCCACAAACTGCTGTAAAAAGTCCAGGCTCAAGAAAAAGAAGAGCGGCTGTGACTCCAGAAGCTGATGGAGCCTTTTAATGTGTTCAGAATCAGAACCAACACCCCAGTCAGACCCTGAACAAAGGAGCAGTCCAGCTTTGTGCCATAACACACATCGTTTTCTCTAAAAAGGTCTCTCAGAAGTTCAGAATGACGTGGTGTCAAAAAGTCACAAAGTTTAAAAGTTGTTCAAACAGCAGTGAAACATTAAAAACAGCAGCTCTTACTGTTAGCATGAAAACCTGAACAGAGAAGCTGAAGCTTTATTTATCAGCTGTCAACATTAAGTCAGATAAAGGAGAGAAGAAGAAGAAGAGGCTGACCGAGGATTGTTAGACATGATGATGGAGCAGCCACCACAGAGCACCTACATCACCTCAGAGTACCTGTTACCTTCAACTCACCTGTAGAAACAGTCAGTGCAGACAGCAGCAGCACACACACACCTGCAACAGGACAGAGGTCACTAAAGGTCACCAAAGGTCAGAGGTCATGATGAGGACAGACAGGTGTAGGAACATCAGCTCACCTGCAGCAGTCAGCAGAAACAGGCCTGAAACTGAAGAACACACTGATCAGAGATCAAATGGTCACATGACCAAAGAGAAGCATTCAGCCTGCAGTGATTGGCTGTTCCCACACATCAATAACCCACAGCGCCCTCCAGTGGTGGAAACACAGATAATACATGTGGAGGAACATGAAGGAGACTCACAGCAGAGGCAGACGCTCCGTCTCAGACAGCCGTCACCTCCACAGCTCCACAGCTCTGCTCCCCGACCTCCTGCATCACACAGAGCACCATCAGCACAGGAGGAGTAATGGTGCACATCGAACTCATGTGATGGTTCGTGCTGACAGCGTGATGGTGTTTGTCAGACAGTAGGAAGTGCTGTGAACTTGTTGTTCCTGCAGACACATGAGTGGAAGGAAACCTGGGACCAGCTGAATGTGTGATGTGTAAACACAACTCCTCTGTTTTCAGACGCACAAACATTGTTGTTCCAACTCGTCCTGCAGCAGGTTTTAAAAGAGTTGACGGGAGCGCGGCTGCTCTCGTCAGCTTTAAGCAATAAAGGAACAGGACTTTTACTTCTGTGCAGGTTTATCACCTTTTAGTTTACTGCAGAGGAACAGGACTCCACCCAGAACCAGAACCAGGAGAACCATGGAGACCACACCTGCTACAACTGGGACCAGGAGAGAGGGAGGAGGAGGAGGACAGGTGGATGCTGGGAGAGGAGGATAAGTAAGAGGAGGAGCAAAGTTTGAGGAGGTTCTTGGAGAAGGACAGTGAGGAGGAGGAGGACAGTGAGGAGGGGGAGGATGGATCATTTTGGGAGGATCTGGAGGAGAGATGATGAAGATGGTTCAGTCAGTTTATTATCAGGTCACATTGTTACATCATTTTTTAAACAGGAAGTGATGTCAGTGTTCTGACCTCTGACCCTCAGAAAGCTCTTAGGAGAATTTCCACCCTGATCAGTAGAACACCAGTAGAGACCTTCATCAGCCTGTATGATGTTAGTGATGTTGTGCTTTGGTTCAAGACCATGACGACTTCCTTTGATGAAGAAATAAGCTTCGACTGTGGCACCCTTCCTCAGTCTGCAGCGCAGAATGACATCACTTCCTGTCCTCACAGGAAGTGCAGGGATCTCCAGGATGACAGCTTTATCTGACCATCAGAGACAAACAGAGTTAATGAGAGCAGAGTCACACAGAGACAGAGACACAGCTGGAACATCTCACCTGTAGTTTCTGATTGGACACTGAAGGAGACGTTGTCACTCTGCTGTCCAGAGGAGTCCTCACACCAGAAGGTTTCACTGGGAGCAGAAATATTCACAACACAGTAGGAACCAAGAAGCCTCCCAAAGCCCAAAACAGCTGCTCCACAGTCCTCAGTGGGTCCTCCTCTGGTCCTCTTCACTGTCCATCCATCAGCTGTCTGTCCATCATCAACACAACTCAGGGACACTGAAGAAGATCCACTGAAGACCTGCTGAAGGTTTGGACTGACAGACAGAGACACTGGAGGACACACACACAGACACACACACACACACACACACACACACACACACACACACAGACACACACACACAGACACACACACACGCACGCACGCACGCACACAGTAAGTGTATTTGTGTTCTTGTTGGAGTCTCACTGTTTCACTTCCATCAACTCACCTTCAGAAACAGTCGGTGCAGACAGCAGCAGCACACACACACCTGCAACAGGAGGACAGAGGTCAGTAAAGGTCAGAGGTCACAAGCAGGCAGAGTTTCTCAGCTTTGACTCTGAGCATCGTCACCATGTTTGGCTCCACACACTAAAGCACTTTTCTCCACACTCAACATAATCACAGCTAAATGTGGTTCCCAGCTCATCAGTGAGCTCCTCCACATGTGTGTGAGGCTCAGAGTCAGCCAGGGTTAAAATCCTGGCAGCACAAGCTAGAGCTCAGTTTACTCACAGAGCAGAGACGTGCAAAAGCACAGGAGTAGAAACTGTGGTTGAGATGTGTTACCAGTATAACTGAGACACAGTCAGTGTGTGAAACAGAAAAGAGGAAGTTCAAGTTCTTCCTCTTTTTATTTATCTCCCTTTGAACATGCATCACATTGTGTTATGTTGAAATGGAGCATCATGCATATGAACAGTCTTACATGTGTGTTTACTGCTATGTTGCATCTACATCTGCATCTGTGTATTTATGTTGATCCTCTGGACTTCAAGACATCGTCTCTGACACGACCTCTTTAAACTATAGTTTAATACACCTGGTTTACATGATCATTACACACACACACACACACACACACACACACACAGAGTTACCAAGACTACATGGAGTACCCTCAGAAGATCTACTAGATGATGTGAATGCAGGACCACACCTACTGCAACCAGCTCATCTACACCACGGCAGGAGAGATCAGTGAGATGCTACAAGCAGCAGTGGCCTCCATGGAGAAGGAGACTGGAGGCCAAGGTCAAAGTATCACGGAGGGAGGTTGAAGTGCTCTTGAGCAGCAGTTCTCCAGGGTTTATGATCAGCATTCAAGTTTTTTCTTTGGAAATATTTGGTTGTTTTCTCACTGGTTTCCAGTCGAGTGGAAGTCAGCAGGAAGTCACATGTAGTTAGTAGGATTAGCATCATATTGAGAACAGGGTGCTCTCTGTGGCCTGTGCTGAGCTCTTTAAGGTGGATGGAAGAGTCAGCACTGAAAATCCACCCACGCACAGACCTGTACCTACCCCCATCACTCCCAAGACACATGGTTTTAAAGGTGAGTGAAATGAGGCAGCAGTAATACAGAGATGCTATTTCCTGAGGAGTGTGCACTTTTTCACGTATTTACCTGAATGTTCCTATTTTCCCGTAAAGGAAATCACCTCCAGGAAGACCTGTAGTCTTGTCTGTGAAACGGTGACATTGGTTCTAAAGACCAATCACATACATAACAGTGGCATAGTCAGGCTACCACACTGAATTTGGTCAAAGGACGTCATCATCTTCCTCCTGCACCGAGCTCTGACTCACCTGGAGAAGCCTGGAAGCACTGTGAGGATCATGTTCTTTGATTTCTCCAGTGCTTTCAACACGACTTCTGAGAGACAAGCTGGAGATATCGGGAGTGGACCACCACATGTCCCAGTGGATACTGGTCTACCTCACAGGACGCCCACAGTATGTGAGGACACAGGGCTGTGTCTCTGACACGCTGGTCTGCAGTACGGGGGCCCCACAGGGAACTGTGCTGGCACCGTTCCTCTTCACCCTCTACACTGCAGACGTCTCCATCAACTCCCCACGCTGCCACCTACAGAAGTTCTCTGACGACTCTGCCATAGTCGCCTCATCACAGGTGAGGACGACTCAGAGTACAGACAGTGGACTCTGTGGACTGGTGTCAGCAGAACCACCTGCTGATCAACGCCGGGAAAACCAAGGAGTTGGGGGTGGACTTCCGGAGACGCAGACCCACCACACTGACACCGGTGAACATCCAGGGAGTGGACATTGAGATAGTGGACTCCTATAGGCACCTGGGTGTTCACCTGAATAATAAACTGGACTGGAGTCACAACACTGATGCTCTTTACAGGAAGGGTCAGAGCAGACTCTACCTGCTGAGGCGGCTGAGGTCATTTGGAGTCCAGGGAGCGCTTTTAAAGACCTATGACTCTGTGGTGGCATCTGTCATTTTTTACAGTGTTGTATGTTGGAGCAGCAGTTTATCGACAGCTGAGAGGAAGAGGTTGGGTAAACTCATCAGGAAGGCCAGCTCTGTGCTGGGATGCACCCTGGACCCAGTGCAGGTGGTGGGAGACAGAAGGACTCTGGCCAAAATAACATCTCTGACGGACAGAGTCTCCCAGCCCATGCATGTAGATGTTGCTGCAGAGCTGCTGCAGTGACAGACTGCTGCATCCTCGATGCATGAAGGAGCGTTTCCGCAGGTCCTTCCTCCCTGCAGCTGTCAGACTGCACAATCAGAACTGCTCCCAACAAACACAGATGTTTACATCTGCGCTGTAACTGCAATAAGTTAATCAACCGATTCACACTATAACCAAGGTTTGTCTCTTATCTGTATTTAATTTAATTTTATTTAATAATGGTATGGTACTCAGTTTTTGGTAACCATTGTCCTTCATGTAAATATGTAAAAATTGTGTATGTTTCTGTCCTGTGTCCTGTTTGTTTGTGTATGTGTCTTTCTTGTTAAACCCTAATTTCCCTTGTGGGACAATTAAAGGATTATTCTATTCTATTCCTTTTTAATGAAACTATTTTATGGTTTAATCACCAGGTGTTGTGTTTTATACACCTTTTCATGTACACAGTGTCCTAGACCACTGAAATCAGTATTTTAAAATGCTTTTCCTGCTTGTTTAACCATAATTATTAGCGTGTAGTCACTCTGGTGTACTGGCGAATTATTAATGTGTATAAAAGTCCAAAGTTTTTATTTAAATTCATGACCTGATGGCATGGTTTTTGTAAACTGTTATTAAACGATGGTAAACATTAAGTAGACCAGTGGCGGCTCCTGAAAAAAATCTCAGGGGGGGCAATTTTTATGATATCGACTAAAATGACCCATTTAATGAGTACATCAAACAACACAATTTTAATTTAAATTTAAAATGAACAAGTCGGTTTGTCCAGATTGTGTCCACGTCAAATCACACTTGTCACTTTTGAACAGTATGCACGGGAAACAAAAAAGTGCATTAGCTGTTCCACAGCCTGTCAGCCACGACTTGCGCTGGAACCAACTCCGACAAAAAGTCCTGTTGTATGCTTTTGACTTCTCCTTCGTTGCCTGGGTTAGTTGAATTTCGGGCTTGTCAGGTCCCAACTCTTTAACTTGCAGTTTTTCTGCCATTGTCCTTCTGGCAAAAGGGTAGGTTAGAAGCGATCTAACCGAATTTGGGGGAGGCTGTGCCTCAACCGTTAACAATACCGCTGCCATCGTCTCTCTCTGACCTTATAGCTCACTTAGGCTACTGACTGAGGTAAAATTCTAGAACAGCAAATCTTCGCGCGTTTTCTGCAGGGGCGCAATTTTAAGCGCCCCCAAACCATTTAATTCAGCGACGCTGATAGGTCAAATATTTATTATTTTCCCCTGGCAACCATTTAATGATAGGCTATTTCGCTGCATATCAAGGGCGCTTTGACGAGCGCCCCAGAAGAAGAAAAACACCGTTTGTTGGTTGAACTTTAATGAGTCAGCTGGTGAAAATGTTAAAATACGCCTGGCTGTATATGGGCACACACATAGTAAAACTATCATTGATGAATTTTTTAAAAATATATATTTTTACTCCTCCACATTTGGGGGGGCGGAGCCCGAGCGCCCCCTATGGGCCAGCCGCCACTGAAGTAGACTGAACTCAATTTTCATCAGCTTGTTATTAGATCTCAGGTTACGTAAGTTACCAGTACTTTTTATTCAAAGAGCTGATCAGTTTATTTGAGTTGTCTTAAATTAGAAAAACTCAGTAAGCTGGAAGTTTTGACTATATGGTTTGAAAATGCCACGTCACCACCGTCCTCCTCCTCTCACAGATCAGTCCGCGTGTTCATGGTGTCGCCATTTTTTTCTGGAATATGTTGAGCAAAGCTGGAGAAGCTTCAGCTCAAGAGATCATTGTTGGCATTGCTGTGGATCTTTACCTGATACACTGACTCAGTGAGTAAATCTTTACTCTTATTCAAATTGGTTTTGTGCCTTCTCT